AGCAATATTTTTGGTCTAATCATTGAGAGAGAATTATAAAGCAGAAATAGTACTTTGCTATAGAATCAAATGACCAATGTCTCCAATTCTTTTAATTCCATCAGTAGCTTTGTTGCTTCATCTGTGAAATGTGAATAATACTTTTCCTACTTACCTCATGTGATTGTGATGAGAATTGTGAAGTTCTGTACAAATGGCTTTATTTTTTGTATGGTTTATTAATGTTTTTAAGACACAAGCCTGACTTTCGAAGAATGTATTTCTTCTGTCTCCATAAATGCTAGTGTATGTGTTTGCTTCTCTAATCTGACACAGTTGTAGCACTAGTCTTTTTGGACTAAAGACACTTGGGTGGCAGTTTTAGCTCTTTCACAACCAAATTAGTGATATGACCACGAACAACTCACTGTCTCTTCAGGAGCCTCAGTTTTTTTTACCTAAATGGCCTATGGCACCTTGGAGCTAGAAATTTGCTGTGATTTTCATTGATGAAAAGAAACAATTATTGTAAATAAAGGATGGTGAAATGCTCTTTCAGTGTAATGCTTGTGAGACTGGAGTGCTTTAATATTTCAAGAGTGACTGACATGGTTAATTTCATTTTAGTTCCCAGATTATCTCAGGGTTTTTTTTTAAATTTCAAAAACAATTTACTAGTAGGCTAATAAATTAATGTAACCATTTTATTTATTGTTTGAATTCTATTTACTTAAAATATTACCTTATGCCCATATTGAAAAGTTACTAGACAATAGAGAATTTATTACTTCAGCATCTATAGCTTTTGTTCTCTTTATCCTTTAATATGGATAACCCTTTCTTTGATTTAACAATCACAAGTACTGAAAATGTGATCTTCAAAAGTGTGAGAAAAAATATATATAAAATCATTTTCTAAAATGCAGAGAGCAACAAGGCATATTTAAATCTATTTTTGTTATAACTAAACAATGTTTAAAATATATGAAATACTAGGTTTTTTATAGATTGTCATTTTGGCAAAAATAAATGCATTCCCTAAGGATGTGATGGTCCTTTTGTTTATTTCAGGTGACAAAATTTATAATGGTGTGTAGGTTGAAAATCTTAATTTGTGGGGTGAATATTATAAGAGTGACCAGGGCTTTTGAAAATCAGTTTTGGAAGTATTCTCAAAATACAGTATAAACTTTATTCATTATCATTGTAAGATACAGTCCTTTAAATCACTTTTATGACACTTTGGAGAAAAGTATAATGACACACATATTTGACATCTTTAAAATGTTGGTAGCCACAGTCAAAATGGAAAAACATGCAATACTTAATTGGTCATGTACTAGATGACTTGCTTAATAATAATTTTCAAAAAAATTCTTCTATTTGAATTGCTTCTTTAAATATGAATTGATTAGATTTTTTATATACATCGAAACTTTTAGAACCAGTGTTTTATTTTCTATCTTTGATAGATTAATGGAAATAGAAGAACTGATTAAACATGTCTAGTATAAATATTATCTATTTATGTAGTATGAAGAAAATATCCTCAAAACTTACGATTTTCTCTGAGAGCTTTCCTGGAAAAAATTTTTAAAAACCTCAATTTTTTTCCCTCTTCTTTTTTTTTCCTTTGATAAATGTAGCAATCACACTTTTTAACCTTTTTAATGCAGGATCGACCTTCCACCCACACATAAACCTCCTCCTATGTATGAAGAACGGTCCCCACCTTTGCCTCAGAAAGACCTTCTGTATCAGGTATGTGTTCATGAGCACACTTAAAATAATGTAAAATACAATAAAAAATACTGACCTATTTATCTGATTTCTTTCAAAATGTATAGTCATTATTTCTTAAATATG